TGCAGAAGTGTTAGTTTCGAACTCAAACTGTTTGACCAGAATGTTACAGGCCTTATCCTAACCAACACGCGCCGATCAAATGCACATCAACGATAGATGAAACAAAGGACAAACATGGCAGGATTCGAAAAAATGTGATTAACTGAGTTGTTCGCTGTCTAATGCTCATAAACAAGAGTTAGTTTCAATACTAATTTGATATTGGTACATTTGGCATTTCCATGGCGTAATTAGGAGACGAGGTTTATCTTAGTAACATGATGTATTTACCCATCATATTTCGAATAATATGATAACATTTTTACTCGACAAGTCAATTTACATAAAACCAAAGTGTGGTGGGAGAAATGCGGTGGGCAGGAATGAAATTATGAAAGAAGATAAGAAATGACACAGCTAATCCCAATCTTGGTAAGAAAATAAAGCTTACCAGCGCAGGCGTAATGTGAGAAAACATTGGTTTTGCACACATAAGGTGGTTGAAACCTGTGTGTGGCTGAGTTTCCAGCGAATCTCAGTGTACGTCCCTGAGCCTTCAAATTGTTACATAAGATTCGCGAAAGCCCTAGTCATACACAAGTTTCAAACACCAATGATTTCTTACACGAAACATGCATTATTAAACTTTATTTTCTTACCAGGATTAGGATTAGCTGTGTCATTTCTTATCTTCTTTCATAATTTTAATCCTACTCACCGCATTTCCCCCACAACACTTCGGTTTTATACAAATTGACTCGACAAGTAATAATGTGATCATATTGTTTGAAAGTTTTGGATAGACACATCATATTCCTCAGAAAAACTTCACCCTCTACTTGCAAATGGCATGCGTCAAAAAATTTGCATGAGGCTTTTAGGGGGCATAGATCTCAGTTTTCAAGGCATGAAACCTGGGAATTTAGCTGCATTCGACAAATTCCGTACAAGTGATCGCCTAGTCACCCACTGTAATAATTTGGATGGTGTCAAGTGATTTTATTTATGTAGAAAACTTCTCCTGAAAACAATTCTTGTTTTTGTGGTGGTAAGTGACAAAAATGTTATTAAACTGGAAGCGTGGGTAGAGTCAATACCCTGAATACTGGGGCTTCCTACATTTCGCTTGGTGCACCAACTAAGATGGAATCACTATATCTTTCATGAGATCAGCATGGCCATTCCCAATCACTGAAAACTTTTAATGCTAGTTCAGTCACTCATTGCTGACGCTGGAGGTGCAAATAGCGTGAAGCCTAGGAAGTGTGTTGTTATAATGCGACTATGTGTATTCAAATCCTATTGTAGCGGCCAGAATCCAATAATCTTGGCCTGAACGCGGGAAATAACTAGGCGGTGCCAACTGACGTGAATCTGACTAGTTCCTGCGTTCTACTGTATGGCTTCCCAACTTCCGCGAGTGACGCACAGTCAAAAGTTGGATCAAAATATCAAAACACGGTTTGTAGTAATTCAATAGTAGATTCGTAACAAAATCTGTGGTACTATCAAAGCAACAATAAGTTATGTCAAATTACAAAAATACCTCAACAGTGCCGTTGGGTAACTATACAGTCCAAAACGTTCTCGGGTACAAATACGTACTATACGGTAAAAACTGGTTAAAAAAATACAACCGTTAAATACCTGTCGGTCAATAAGAATATTCCCGGCAAAAGGGATCAAAACTCTGCCTACAGGAATCAAATCAACAAACAGACGTTCCTAGTAGACAGTCAAAAGACAAACAGTCAGATCACTGCACAACCGTAAGTTGAACCAAAACAAAATGTCGTGCGCAGTAAAACAACATCACCTTATCAACAGTCCAGCGTCACATAATAAGAAAGTGGAACATTCATAATAAGTCTCAAACATACAAAGGCAAATACCGAGTGTAAAGTCAAATAAGACAGTTAAACAAGCAAATAACGTTACACCGGCGAGGGTCAAAGGTACACCATCCATAACGAGGGTAAAAAATGTTAAAATAAATGTCAATACAATCCAATAAGAGTGATCGGGAGGGATATTCAGATCAATTTTCCGTTACACCCATCACTAGTTGGACAAGAAATATAACTGGTCATCACTTATCACTAGTCCAACTGAAATTCTCTCAAATCCAGACAGAGGAGTCCTACTAAAAGTTAACTTTCGGGTTAAAAAATGCGCTGCGGCTATAGTCAGGATTAAGGCCCTCAAGGATACAAAATCATAGATGCCGTCGTACGCTATCGCAGGCAAAAGACTAAAGAAGGAAACAACCGAAAATTAAAACTTTGAAAAGTTCACGCGAAACAAGAGCCAATCTAAATATCTCGAAAAGCAGAGTTTTCGCTAATCTCTCTTATGTCTTACGATGAGTGTCTCCGTTGAGAAGCAACAGTACGACGGTAGTGCTCCCATCGTTTGTTGCTAGGTTCACAAGACAACGACTACCACTTAGTCACCACGTGATATCGTTCACTCAGTGCACTTGGCTCTTATATGTGGCGCACTGTAAGTCACCATTAGTCGGGTCCCTTTTCTGGTATTGACATATCGCTCGTACTTATTCGTCATTGTTTTTCTGATCTGCGAATGGACTTGTTTTGGCGACAGCGGGGTCTTCCTTGCTTTGACGAACCTACTACGAGTTCTTCAGATGTCTGGGGCTTAGTTTTTCGTGTAAAGGCAGACCATATGGAGCAAGTGTTGGTGAAGTCCCCCAGCCTAGTGACGAGACATCTGAGTACAATCAAATAGTAATGACATATTTCGAATAATGAATTGTACGAAGACATGCTAGAACTTGGAGAGCGTCAACCGATTATCATCCTCATTCTGAGCTACAGTCCTCTCCTCCACCACAGACTATTGAAGCAGGGGAGCATAGTATTCCCCTAATCCATCATGAGTCACCAAACTGCTCCCCCAGGACTGGAGTCAGTCCACGAGGAGGCGGCGACACAGATTAAGGAGGATGAACGGTAGTCCCATTATCGTTTTTGACGTTCGGGATAGTGTTGTGATTTTGTTGTCTTCTCGTCACTAGTTCAGTCGTTTGGAATGAATGCGAGCACTCAGTACACATGGGTGTGATTTCTAGTGAGCACTTGAGACACTCGACATTTCGGGCACATTTGTTGCTTAGTGCCTTGACCTGTTGCCTTCGGAGAGTACATGGAAGTAGTGATTAGTCGTGAGACTATGGCAAGTAGTCGTCCTCCGTTGTGCGAATTAGTGGAGCTGCTCGCTGGGGTTGTACTCGGTGGACGAATTTCCGGTGGAGCACACCGCTGTAGAGGTTAGCGCCCTACTCCTTGATATGTGTTGTGGGTGAATGATACGTTGGTTGGTGTCATGTTTCAGGCCGTGTATTGACACTTGTCAACTCTGTTCCGGATTCATTCCGAGCCACGCAGCGCCAGGCGCAAATATCTCACTTTTGAGATTGCGGACACGAGAGCTACAATACTACTTCAAATTCAGTCCTGGATTCATGCAGCTATTGTCTACACCTTTTGATATTGTATCTAGTTAGACAAGTTGTGTGGGGACGACACTGTGCAAACATTTTACGAAACACTGGAGTTTCTGAATAGTCAAGCTTTCTTGCGACCTTTAGCGCTGAAGACCGTTTACTCTACAGATGCATCCAGTTAGTATAGCTGCAGTATTGTAGCAAATAAACAACCGGCTATTTGTACCCAGGGATGTCCAAGTAGGAGTGGATAAGATGTTATCAAACCCAGAAAGAAGCACAGGTGGTTGTTTGGGCAGTAAGGCGTCCTCTGGAGTGCCTATTTGATATGATGTTTCACATTGTTGCCTGTCGTTGAGTTGTGAAAATTAATAGCTATCTGGACAAATCCTTAGATGGGTAATCTGCTACTTCAGTTCAGTGAATAGACAGTTAAACACAGATAGGCCGTAGATATACTTCATGCGGACTTCCCGTCGCTTTGTTCCTCGTTTGACAGTTCTGCGGATGCTGATTGTTTATTAGTCCAGTCATTACCCGTAGACGAAATACGAGCTATACAAGACACTCGGAAGTACAATGGGAGAAACAAAAGTGCGATGAAAGGGAGGTTGGAATGGTCAGTGCAAGCGAAGACTCACTGAACCCTATGAGCAGAGATGAAATATTATTACATCCGAAAAGATTCTAGTGTCTGAACGATAGGACTGTTATTCCTCTGACATTGAAGTCTGCTAGGTTGAGTGGTCTTCATTCTGCACATCTAATAGCCAAGGAAGTGCAACCATTGGCACGCCTTACATGCTGGTGGCCGGAAACTGATGTTGATATTGTGAGGTCAAACAGCTGTCCTGACTGATTCCATTATATATCGTTTGGAAAATACTATGGACTCCGTGGCTTTGGTCTTGCGCAATATTGCATTTTAACGTTCTTCCCGACAACTTGGTTGCCGTCATTCAATGAGAGGACATAAAGACGAACAGCTCCGTTTTGACCCACGGACCACGTGCTACAGTGAAAATTGAGGATCAGACAGAAGGAACAATTTTCACACCTATAGCATCATTATGGACGACTGGACATGCGGCGGTTACTTCATGATTGTTCAGATATTTTGAGATCACTTGGTGACCTTTTTGTGTTTTCGCACCCAGGTTTTGTAGGCTCATAGTCATTCACTTGTCCAGTTATCACTTCTACCGCTCGAAAACAGAATTTAGTTTATGGCCTGATACGACACCTATTGTAATAAAGCGGTTTACGTTTGCCCACTCGATTTGTCAAACAACAAAAGAGCATGATCTGCAGGGGTTTTCCTTCAGACACAACTTACCTCCCGCGTTATTCTGTCTAAATCTGCTTACTTGAGCTACTGAGCACTCACTTCTTGGTGAGATTCACTTCATGCAACCTGAGAGTACTTGCCTGTCCTCTGTAGGAAAGCTTACACTGAAAAAGTTGACGGACATTAGCTTAGACAAAGGCATTAAGTGAACTGAGTTTATCCTTCATCGGGAGAAATGTAGTTTGTGAGTTGTTCGTTTGTCGGTTACTGGAACATTGAACCGTCCGCCATAACTGTTTCTTTAAACCCATCTTGAACAGCGGCAGTTCGCAAGTTTTAGGCGTGGGAAATGGTTCGCCAGACGAGGACTGAGTGGAAGGCCGGTTACTTCAAAAAGCTTGGAAAGCATCTGTCTGAGTTCGACAAATGTTTCATAGTGAATGTTGACAATGTGCGTTCAAAGCAGATGCAGCAAATTAGGATGGCATTGCGTGGAAATGCGGAGCTGGTTCTTGGCAAAAATACACTGATGAGGAAAGTTATTCAAAACCAGGTCGAGCGTAACAGTACATTGGAAAAGCTGCTACCTCACATACGCGAAAATGTGGGCTTCGTCTTTACTAACGGAGATTTGTGTGATGTTCGGGAAAAAATTGAAAAGAACCGTGTTGAAGCACCAGCAAAAGCTGGAGCGATCGCCCCCTGTGACGTCATAGTACCCGCACAAAACACTGGTCTCGGTCCTGAGAAGACGGCATTCTTCCAGGCTCTCAGTATCCCCACTAAGATAGCAAGAGGAGCGATTGAAATACTCAACGATGTGCACTTGGTACACAAAGATACGAAAGTTGGCATGAGCGAGGCTACATTATTGGGAATGCTGAAAATCCATCCGTTCACTTACGGTTTAGTCATAAAACAGGTAAACCCGTACCACGTCCTATATTTCTGCAGGTATTTGACCAGGGATGCGTGTATGATCCTGCGGTTCTGGACATCACACCTGAAATGATTGCTGGGAAATTCATAGCAGGCGTACAAAATATTGCTTGTCTCAGTTTAGCTTTAGGTTATACAACACTGGCGAGCATTCCTCATGTTCTCGCCAATGGTTTCAAGAACTTGTTGGCCGTATCCGTCATGACGGACTATACATTCAAAGAAGCTGAGCAGGTAAGTTGCTGCTTTTGAAGTTATCGTGGGTTTTGAAGTGCATAGAAAAGTTTTGTTCACTCGTATGACTAGAACTAAATTATTCAGTATCCATACTAGAAATATCCCAGGCATTGGTTTCGCCTGACTTGCTGTGTGAAATAGGATGTTACCGAAATATGTGGTCCTTATTGGCGGCTATTTTAGCAGTTGCCAGTTAACCTAGGTTTCACGTACTTTGTACCAGTTGGCCTTTGTTAATCCTCGCAGAAGATATCTATCTCTGTGAAGATCTAGTTTCTCCCTGAACGCATTGACAAGTGTTGATACTACTTGCTGAGGTAAGGAGTTCCAGTCGTTGACGTGATGGGAGCGATAAGTATTTTTTTGTGATGCCCCGGAGATAGTCTTAGGAGGGGTAAAAAGACAGGACATCAGTACCGAAGTCATTTGTAATAATATGAAATGCCAGTATAATATCCCTCCGTTTCACTACGGTGAGAAAATGGGAATAAGTTCAGCTGATTTAGTCCTTCCTCATGCGACAGATTCGAAAGGCCTTCCACTAGCCTAGTACCTACCCTATGAACATGCTTGAGTGTGTCAGCATCCTTTTTCGGGCATGGGCTGACCGCCTGGATGCAGTATTCCAGGTGAGGTCTAAGTTAAGTCGAATAAAGTATTCTGGACATGCCCTGATCAAAACATTCGAAAGCTGTGCAGAGGGACCATACTTAGCGGAAGCCCTTTGCTGTAGCTGCTTTAGAGTTTGCCGAGGTCTTGAAATCATGACTGATGATGACACCTAAGCCTTTTAGTTCAAAGATTATAAGTAGTGGTGTATTATCAACAAAATGCTAAGGACAATTGTTATGACCAATGTGCACTATTACACCTTTGTTGTTGATTTCCAGGCACCAAAGTTTGGACTAACCTCGTTCATCTAAATCCGCCTAAAGTGAACACCTATCTGCATCACTGTGCATGGCTCTCCAGATCTTAACATCATCGGTGAATAACAGTGCCGAAGAAGTGGCAATTTATCGATGTATGACAACAAAAGTAGTAAACCTAGGATTGTCCCTTGAGGAACACTCATCACAGGTTTCCACCAGGATGGTATCCCATTTAACTTTTCTATCGTACAGAAAGTCCCTAATACAGGCTTGCAATGAAGCACCAAACTAGTTATATTGACGTGCAACGAGGTTTCTAATTGTTCCAGTGTGTCATTGTATGAACCTACTGATTCACTGACCATCTATTATTGCTTCTGTGAGAGTGGATTTTGATGTAATTTGTGGTCCATAAATGGGCTTGGCTGATTGTAAGATCAGCCGCTGACGGGATCAATGAAGAATACCAGTGCAAAGACACGTTCAACTTCACTTAGCACAAAGTGAAGGTTTAGGACTAAGGCGTGTCTTTCCATAGGGTGGTATTTGGTAAGCTGGTCATCTCTGTGCGACACTGACTTGTACCTTCAGAAAGCCAAACTTATTGCTCTTCGGTGGTCTGGTAGTGACAGAGGATTCTCAGATAAGCTTTCGGTAACACTATATTGTGTAATCCTAAGTTGAGTATTTAGATAATAAAACAGTACATAAAGGGTTACTTGTTTTGCAGATCATCCGGATAATGTCTATGTGGTTATCCTCTCAGTTGTTGCTCCCTATAAGTCATGATTTGTTTTGCATTTTAGATCAAGGAATTTATAGCAGACCCTTCGAAGTTCGCCGCAACGGTTGCTCCCGTTGCAGCAACTGCTCCAACTCCTGCTGCGAAGGTTGAGGAAAAAGCTGCACCTGTTGAACAGCCATCTGAAGAAAGTGAAGATGATATGGGATTCGGCCTGTTTGACTGAACGTTTAATAAATAGATGCAAGGTGAATATTCTTTTTTCTCAAACTTAGTACCTGCCAGAGTTTTAGATTTTTTATGGGTCAGTCATATTTGCATGTAGTCGGATATATGTCTGTTATTTGCCTGGGCTGGGGAGACGATGGGAATCAGAGGTTTAAAGCTCTTGGTGACATGACTGAATGTTGGTCAAAATGAAGATGTATTCACACCTTGACGTCTATAGCTTGAGTATTCGCACTAACCTTTGTCTTCAAATCGCCTTTCTCAGAACCTCCTTGATATCACTCCCATTCTATCCACCTTTGTATACCATTGTGGACTGTGTCAACTCGAACCGATGCACTTGTGCGCGTGGTCATATGTCGATTCTGTCTGCCATAGTGCCTGCTTATTGTTGTAATCGAATTTTAACTTGAACAGGTCAAATCACAGCACAGTTCCGGATGTCGGGTGTGCTTGTGGATAGATGACAGGCAGTAGTGAAGTTGGGGTGCTGATTTGGTGTGCGATGAAGATTATCTGCGAGGATTTCCTGGTTAACATTCTTTGTAATATGCTGACATGTGGGGTGTTGGCGTGAGTCAGTGTAGGTGGCACTCTTCAGACCAACGTCAGTATTTCAGTCTCTGGGTTTACTCAGTATCGTTTGTGCCATCGTGACTAGGGTAGATAGAATCTCCCATCAAGTATTCTCATTGGTGACTTCACCTGCGTGCTTCTGCTGTCTGCTCAACTGTCGGTAGTTTAGGGTTCTGCTACGAATCCACAAACAGCGACTTCATAAGTCCGATAGTGCTCAAGTATCATCTGGCCATTTCCACTAAGTTGAAAATAGCGTGTAAATGTAGGAATGGGGTTCCGTAACAGAGGCGCTTGTAGTTCACTGATTCAAGCTCGGACACTGCAGTGGTGTGTCCGGTCAATTCTAGTCCTAACGTTTTGTGACTTTGTTTCCATGCCCTTAGAAATAGTTCCCATTATGTTTTTGGACATGATGGTAATAATGTGATTCCATTGGTTAATGATTGTACTTTCATTTGTTTCCAATACTTACGGATACGTTTTTATAGCCTAACTGAATTGCAACATCAGAAATAAGAGTTCTTCGCTAATCTCTCTTATGTCTTACGATAAGTGTCTCCGTTGAGAAGCAACAGTACGACGGTAGTGCTCCCATCGTTTGTTGCTAGGTTCACAAGACAACGACTACCACTTAGTCACCACGTGATATCGTTCACTCAGTGCACTTGGCTCTTATATGTGGCGCACTGTAAGTCACCATTAGTCGGGTCCCTTTTCTGGTATTGACATATCGCTCGTACTTATTCGTCATTGTTTTTCTGATCTGCGAATGGACTTGTTTTGGCGACAGCGGGGTCTTCCTTGCTTTGACGAACCTACTACGAGTTCTTCAGATGTCTGGGGCTTAGTTTTTCGTGTAAAGGCAGACCATATGGAGCAAGTGTTGGTGAAGTCCCCCAGCCTAGTGACGAGACATCTGAGTACAATCAAATAGTAATGACATATTTCGAATAATGAATTGTACGAAGACATGCTAGAACTTGGAGAGCGTCAACCGATTATCATCCTCATTCTGAGCTACAGTCCTCTCCTCCACCACAGACTATTGAAGCAGGGGAGCATAGTATTCCCCTAATCCATCATGAGTCACCAAACTGCTCCCCCAGGACTGGAGTCAGTCCACGAGGAGGCGGCGACACAGATTAAGGAGGATGAACGGTAGTCCCATTATCGTTTTTGACGTTCGGGATAGTGTTGTGATTTTGTTGTCTTCTCGTCACTAGTTCAGTCGTTTGGAATGAATGCGAGCACTCAGTACACATGGGTGTGATTTCTAGTGAGCACTTGAGACACTCGACATTTCGGGCACATTTGTTGCTTAGTGCCTTGACCTGTTGCCTTCGGAGAGTACATGGAAGTAGTGATTAGTCGTGAGACTATGGCAAGTAGTCGTCCTCCGTTGTGCGAATTAGTGGAGCTGCTCGCTGGGGTTGTACTCGGTGGACGAATTTCCGGTGGAGCACACCGCTGTAGAGGTTAGCGCCCTACTCCTTGATATGTGTTGTGGGTGAATGATACGTTGGTTGGTGTCATGTTTCAGGCCGTGTATTGACACTTGTCAACTCTGTTCCGGATTCATTCCGAGCCACGCAGCGCCAGGCGCAAATATCTCACTTTTGAGATTGCGGACACGAGAGCTACAATACTACTTCAAATTCAGTCCTGGATTCATGCAGCTATTGTCTACACCTTTTGATATTGTATCTAGTTAGACAAGTTGTGTGGGGACGACACTGTGCAAACATTTTACGAAACACTGGAGTTTCTGAATAGTCAAGCTTTCTTGCGACCTTTAGCGCTGAAGACCGTTTACTCTACAGATGCATCCAGTTAGTATAGCTGCAGTATTGTAGCAAAATAAACAACCGGCTATTTGTACCCAGGGATGTCCAAGTAGGAGTGGATAAGATGTTATCAAACCCAGAAAGAAGCACAGGTGGTTGTTTGGGCAGTAAGGCGTCCTCTGGAGTGCCTATTTGATATGATGTTTCACATTGTTGCCTGTCGTTGAGTTGTGAAAATTAATAGCTATCTGGACAAATCCTTAGATGGGTAATCTGCTACTTCAGTTCAGTGAATAGACAGTTAAACACAGATAGGCCGTAGATATACTTCATGCGGACTTCCCGTCGCTTTGTTCCTCGTTTGACAGTTCTGCGGATGCTGATTGTTTATTAGTCCAGTCATTACCCGTAGACGAAATACGAGCTATACAAGACACTCGGAAGTACAATGGGAGAAACAAAAGTGCGATGAAAGGGAGGTTGGAATGGTCAGTGCAAGCGAAGACTCACTGAACCCTATGAGCAGAGATGAAATATTATTACATCCGAAAAGATTCTAGTGTCTGAACGATAGGACTGTTATTCCTCTGACATTGAAGTCTGCTAGGTTGAGTGGTCTTCATTCTGCACATCTAATAGCCAAGGAAGTGCAACCATTGGCACGCCTTACATGCTGGTGGCCGGAAACTGATGTTGATATTGTGAGGTCAAACAGCTGTCCTGACTGATTCCATTATATATAGTTTGGGGAATATGATGATCCCCAGAGGGGAAGTTTGTTCATCCTAAGCCCATAAATTATGGTGAGAAGTTTGGTCAGCGTTTGAATTTACAGAGGGTAATTGGTTTTTGCGATTTGTAATTCAGCTGGTTATTTTGAGCCCTGTTCATTGATTTTGTTTTAAAAAGTAGCGAAGAGCATGTATTAGATGCGTGAGTCTTTTGAAGGAAACCCTGATTGGTCATAAAGATACGAGAATACGTTTGAAATGTGTTGGATATTCTTTTGAAATACTGTTTTATGTGGAGGTTCTTATTCGGTAGTTTGTAGCTATTAGACTTAGAATAGTGGGATTTTTTTGATGTTGTAGCTGTTGCGCTTTTCTTTTTTCCTGGGCTCCTCAGCTGCTGAAATCTCTTAAGGAAGGGCACACTGAGGTGCATGCACATCTAGCTGACGAGTCTCAGGAAGGGAGAGACTAGCATCCTATATTGCACTGCTAGCCTCCAGTTAGACTACAATCGAATAGATATTCTAACCGTATCGAGATATCCGCGTGGGAGCCCGTCTGTGAACTTAGGTCATGCAGTTCGACGCAGTATAGCAACGAGAAATTTCAAGTATATAGGCGCTAAGTGATTTGGCATGGAGTGCAGTTTCGCAAGGACCTAATGAACCTTCTTTTTCGATTACGGGTGCTGTTGAATAGTTCACATCTACAAGTTATTTAGTTTAATTTTATCACTTATCTATGGATTGTCAAATCAGCTGTATTTAGAATTTTTCTGTCTCGCAGTCTTTATTCACCTCATATCTGTGGGAAAGACCAGTTTCTTCGCTGTTTTTCAAGAAATTTTCTCCATTTCTTACATCTTACGAAGTAATGTTTCCCTTGAAGACTGGATTAGAGTTTAGGAATGATAATGAAAATACATTCAAATTCATGAAAACCAACCTTTCTGTTGAAAATCCATCTTATTTATTGTATCCCGATCGATAGCTGCTTTCTTGACGTGGTGGTCGGGCTTGCATATCACAATGACCCAACGAGCTATGCTGGTGGAACGCTTGTTCCCTCGAGGTCCTACCATACCAGAAAGGTCTGTTGGGTAGTGGTTAGACGAAAAGCAGTTACCGTTATAGTGTAAATTGCTACACTATGATGGGGGTCTGAGGGCGAAGTCGTACTGCTGCTAGCTGGATGGGGTGTGACAGCAGTAAGGTGTTTCCCTTGGATGACCAGCAGTGCCAAGCTGATGCTGCCTTCTCAGTGGAAGGGGGGGTTAGAAAAGGTCGGCCCCAAAAATAACACACTCCACCACGCCCCACGGTCTGCCGGGCCGGCGGTGTTGGTTCACTTGTCGTTTCCTTTCGACCATCCGGCCCCAAAAATACAAAAATTCAAAATAATCATACTCAAAAGGCTGGGTGTGACAGGCCTCAAGCAGATGTCCGATGGGCTCTGCGGTCACACAAATCTCTTTCAGGTACCTTAAGAAGAAATAGCCTTCCACGGTGTGGGCAGCCGGGAAGTGTCAACCGCCCTCACAACTCTGTCAGCACCCAAGTTTCTTCTGACTGCTATCCTCCTCCTCCATCATTACCTTCTAATCTTCCTTCACGTCTCTTAATTAATGATGCTGCATCATCTTCAATTTCTCCTACCTCTGCAGCCTTCGACAACGATCTGAGTCCACAGAACAGCATCCCTGGTCTCCTTAAACCACGCTCCAAATTACATATTGGAGCCTTCAATGTCCGCACCCTCCGTCAAATTGGCCAACAGGCTTCGTTGGCAAAGACTCTAGCAACTCGGGCATGGATGTGTGCTGTGTTTGTGAGACACGCATACAGGACCCAAGTGTGGTTATTCACCTGACCAATCTGGTGAATCTGCAAAATTCACCCTTCGAGTTTCTGGAGATTCGATAGCTAGCTCTCGTGGTCTTGCAGGTGTAGGTATAGCATTAAGCACCAGGGCAGAAAACTCACTACTAGACTGGATCCCAGTTGATAGTCGCCTCTGCGCTATGAGGCTGAACGGCACAGTGAGAACTAAAAGGAATAGTGAGACTCGCCGTTGTCTCTTTGTAATCTCTGCTTACGCACCCACTGACTGTAGTTCGGATGAAGTGAAGGACGAGTTCTACCATAAACTGTCTAACCTCCTCTCGAAAGCCAAACGTTCGGACGTAGTGGTTGTTGCAGGTGACCTCAACGCACAGGTGGGTAGACTGAGTGAGGCAGAAAGGCACTTAGGTGGCACTTTCGGAATCCCAGCTGAACGTACAGATAACGGTGATCGCCTATTACAACTATGCTCAGATAACCGCCTATTTTTAGCCAGCACAAATTTCAGACATAAAGAAAGGCACTGTCTGACCTGGCGTCCACCGAGCTCGACTCAGCGATGGACACAGATAGACCACATTGCTATTAGTCATCGCTGGAGAGGATCGGTGGAAGACTGCCGCTCCTTCTGGAGTACGTGTTTGGACAGCGATCATGCGTTGGTCCGAGCACGTATATGCCTGCGTCTCAATGGACGTAGAAAAAATTTGGCAACAAAACCACTACGAGTTCTGCTGGACAACGAAAACACCAAAGCCGTGTTCAGTGAGAAGTTGGCTAGGCAGTTATCGGAACAAAAGACTGTCACTCATCCAGAAGAAGCTTGGTGCCATCTTCAGTCTACTGTAAAAGCAGCACTGGAGACTGTAGCCGACTCCAAGATAATGGCTAAAAAGAGCCAGTGGATATCAGCAGCTTCTTCCAAACTAATGGATGCACGTGAATGCATCCCTGCAGGCTCTGAGTACAATGAAGAGCGAGCGCAACTTAAAAATAAACTGACGAAAAGTCTGCGCAACGATCGTGAACAGTGGTGGGCAGCAAAGGCTAAAGAGATGGAAAAGGCAGCGGCGATCGGTAACAGTAGACAGTTATTTAGACTTATTAAGGAGACTGGGGGGAAATGGTCAACAACAGTTAGTGAGGTTATAGCGGAGAAGGACGGATCTGCGATTCACTCGCAGGGAAGGCGACTGGGACGATGGGCAGAACACTTTGAGGAACAGTTTAACTGGCCTCCAGCCACCATTGCGCTGCCCGCTATCCAGTCGGACCCTGAATGGGACATAGAGACAGGTCCCCCAACACTAGAAGAAGTTGAGAAAGCGGTAGGTAGCCTGAAACGGGGAAGGGCAGCAGGACCAGACGGACTACCTGCTG